AAGTGATCAGTTCAGGGGTTGAACATTGTAAAACCTTACCCAAACCCAATTGACCGAATTGGCTTGATCCCCAAGCGTAAACACCATTGTTAGTCACTGCTAAAGTGTGACAATGGCCGCACGATACGCTGAGAACATCCAGTTCCATGCTTCGAAAGAAGGATATAGCTTGAGGTGAACCATACCTCAATACAGATGGGCCAGTTCCTATTAATAATTAATGTATATCTTATATAAAAATAAGTTAAGCATTTAATTGAGAATATATTCACCTAAACACCCTTGCACAGAACTTCCCCATGTATAAATATTTCCATTTCTAATAAGAGCAACGTGAGAGAATCCAGCACATAACGGCCTTCTTTTGAAATCAGCACCAGAATTAGTATTGCTATGAACCTGTTTTAATTGTAAATATGTAATTATCTATTAACACCAAACATCGAATGGTTTATACGATAATTACCTTTCTAAGTCCTAACAATTCAATGTTACACTTAGTAGAAGACTCGTGATGTAAAATAGAATTTTTATAAATCAAAGTCAATAGAATTAGTAAAAAAGTTTCTACAATTTCCTCTATCAACGTATCAGCCTCATCCTACGTGAAAAGGGAAAATAAATGTCAACTGTAAAAATGAATGAATGAGTGAATTAATCAATGAATCAGTTATACATACATTTTCCACGAGATCTATAGAATCACATTGACTAGATTGAGAACTATGAGAAGTAGTTCTATGGCGTAATCGACATCGCACTATTCTAGGTCTTATCACTGGATTCGTTGGATCATACAGTATTACTAATCTCTAAACATTTACGAAAATGTAGAAAGATAAAAACATTTATGTTACTACCTATAATATAATACATGTATTTTTACCTGAAGTACAAAAATTTGAGAATTGTGAAGATTATCAAGAATAAATGACATATGACTTCTAGCTAACTCAGGATTTACTAACATTGCTTGCATTAAGCTTGGTTCACTTATGCATATCAATAAACCATCTGAAATTAAACAAATAAATAGTTATACATATATATAACAATGCTTCTACGTAATTTTATAATTATTTATAATTATATATTACATGGTGTTGGATGGAAATTGTTTGTGCTGAAATTATGCATTGTCTTCATAAGAATATCTAACATTTGCCCATAAAGACTTTTCTGTGTTGCTAAGTGATGCAACACTTCCCACAAACATGTTTGTCCCGCAATATTAACTGCTAATAATTCATCGTAAAAAGAATTTGTAGATAAGAAATACCTATAATCCAAATAATTCTTATTAAATACTATTTCTACGATATTTTTCATAAAATTATATCCACATGCTTACAAAAACTCTTTATATATAGCCTTTGATTTTTGAGACGCAATTCTAAGCGTTCGTTCAATAAAAGCGAGAACACATAAGTTAGAAAGATGTATTCTTGGTGCAACAGGCAGTTCGCTAATAGCTGGGGAACCTAAACAATGCGTAAGACAACGCAATAAATCGGCCGTATATCCAACAGAGGCAAATTTTAACATACTCTTCATTATTCGACACTGAAAAAGATAAACGTAAAAAATATATATAAATTTAAACGATTGCAATTAACTTAATTTATCTTCTGTATAATATTTACTTACTTTAGACAATTTATAGCAAGCTACAGCACGGGTGAAATCTTTATTCATCAAAAGTATATCACCGATTTGCTCTAGTAACTGCTGTGCATTGATGCCAAACACTATAGCCAATTTAGCCGCTTTTTCGAGTTCGTTATTTTTCAATACTAATTCCATAAAAATTGATAATATCGATTTCCTGTAAATAAAGGAGCATGATAATTTTTAAAGTTTTATTAAAGAGATTAAGAATATTAAAAATATAATACCGACCTTAAAACAACTTTATATACAGAATGATTTGTTACAATTATACAAGTATCCACATGAGGTAATTCAACACTAATATCTTTCATTCCCTTTGGTAATGCGTACTTATTTTTAACGTCTTCAGAAATTACTGTTGGTGCATTATTTGTTAAATCTATAGCTCTGTACACGGCGCGTATTACTTCTTTGCTATTCACTAAAGAAAAGTGACCAACAATGCACTCTGGATTAAATTTACCATTATCGCTCTTATGAGTTTCGGATAATCTGTTCGATATTACATACATTATACGCTGACTGACGTCAGTAATAAAAAAAAATCGCTGAGTTAATAAAACATTTCTACAAGATTCAAATACTCTATGTGCTGATAAAGGTACAGTAGTAAAATTAGGTCCATATACCTGTAATCACAAATTTTTTTCTGTCACATTTACTACTGTACATAATTAAAAATTAATAAAATACCGCCTTACCAATATTTGATTTGTAATAGAATGGTAACATGTGTACAATTGTTGCCCTTCTCTATCTAACTGTGACATCAGAAACACATCTTTTGACATTGCTTCTGGTGTTATCTGATTCTGGTTCACTTCTGCAGAGGATTCAGAATGAACAGCAGTATTCTGAGTATTTCGATTGCTCGTAATATCTGGAAAATTAATGAAGATCTCTTTAACAATTTACTTGAACACTTTACCGACCGGAAGCCTATTAACCGGCTCTTTGTTGCCAATGCCTACCGACCGGGAGCTTATTAATCGGCTTTTTGCTGCCAACGATATAGTAAGCACTCTCACGAATTTTGATTTAAAATCTGTACAGCTGTAAGAATAAGCGTTTATATTCCTGCACGATAGTCATCACCGAACCGGTATTAGCGATGTATCCGCGCGCGTATGAGCCGGTCGGGAGTGCGTAGCAAGTTCAGCCACGAGCGGTCGGAAAAGTGTTAAAATATAATTATTGTATAATTTTGTCTATACAAACCATACTGTATATTTTCTCCTAATGTCTGACTTTTTGTTTCTATCAATTTTTGTCTGAGTATAGCAAGCTTGTCAACAGACAACTGTTTGAGTCCTTGCAATCTGGATCTAGTAGAAGCAAATATTTTGGTATTATCATAAATGTTATCATTTGTGTGTAACACATTGTATGATTCCCCATTTTCTAAATGTTGCAAACAACTGTATGTACGCTGCTCCAAAAGTAATCTCCACTGTCTCCTAGATTGACTTGTTATCAAGAGGGAAACAATGTCATTACTTTGATCACGACAAATGTGGAGACTGGCAATATTTCCTTTAATTTGTGTTACATTTGTTTGATGACCATCTTCAAGATTTATAAATATAATCTCCCCGTATTCAGTCCCAATAATACCAATTTCAGCAGGCATTACTAGACTTTGCCACCATACTATTGCAGTAGGCCTGAAAATTTGTAACAATCATAAATGAAAAAAAAAATAAAATCATAAGTGTCTTTCATTAAAAGTTCAATTATGGTATGTACTTTGAATGAGTTGATTGTGAACTAATAGAAGGAAAAGAAGTTATATCATCACTGGTCCATCTTATGTCCTTTTCACTATTTTCATCAACAAAACACAAAGCAGGAATTATATATATAGATCCATCAACACTTGCAGAGAGCAACCATGATCCCAGAAAATGAAAACACACAGCTGAGATTTGCTTATGAAGCCCTTGAAACCATGGTATTCTTTTAATTATTGGAGCAGTTATTGAGTCTTTCTTGTAATACAAAAAAATTTCAGCATTCCCAGTTGTAATTGCTAAAAATAAACTCTTTCCATATTCACATTGAGCACTGTGCTGTATTTCTGTTGCTTTGATTAAACACTGCAACTTGAACAGACTTTCTTCGGTGAAAATATTCATTGGCTGAAAGCCCTCTGTGCCTATTTCTGCGATCATTATACTTAAGATTACTGCTGATCTGTTAATACTACCTGAAATATAAAATGTCACATCAAATATTCTTAATAAAAAAATTTGTTTTTAGATATAATGTGAAAATAAGAAGCCATTCTTAAAAATGATAATTCGACCTAATTTGCATAGACATAATATAATTATTCAATTTACACAAATTCTTGGATGCATTCAACTTCTGATTACCCATATAAAAATTTGCAATACAACATAAAGAATTAAAACCCTTTATTAATTTCTACGTGATATAAATATTCAGATCGATACAATTATTAGCTTTAAATATACGTATTAAATTATTTCTAACGCGTAATCCAAGTAGATGTGAACAAATTTAAGTACGAGTTAATTTTCATTATGCGCTACCTGCTGTAACGATTGCGTAGCATGCCAAGTAAAATATTTAACAAGATATTACGAGATGTTATACCTGTGTTTATACACTTGTAAAATAATATAAGTGACGAGAAGAAAGCTTCGTCTATTAAGAAATTCTTGTCGTGCTAAAAATAAATGATTGCAAAAGGAACTTAGACCAAATGTTACATTGCGCATTCCGTCGAAACGTGATATATTTTTGCACGCCAGAAATTAATAAAATTAATTATTCACAGTGCATTACATTTTTACAATAATACCGCCGTCAAATTTCTAAACGTCAGAATATCAAGGTTAGATTGCGTTATAACCATCGGCATAGCCATGCTAAAAAACTTAAAATCACCAGCTTATAGTACAAGCTGGTGCAATTGCATTCGATGTTTGAATAATCATGTTTTTTCTTAAATTACTGCCTGAAAATTTATGCAGATTTAATAGCGATAGCTGATATTTTAAAAAATAAAGATAATGATAAATAACGCTTAGATAATAGGTTGCAATATGTTATATCTATTGTATCAAAATCTTATGTTATTACGTATTTTTCAACTTTAAATAGCTTATCAAAAATTAAGAAAACGTAATGAAATTTTTATCGATAAATATAATTCTATATTTGAACTGTATTTCTCTAGCTTCGTTTAATAAATTGAGTTGGTAATATTTGCGGCGCAGTTCATAAAATATTATCATTTGAAGTACGCATCGAAGAAAGATGGTGGATGATAGTGTGAATTGACGATTTAGTATTGAACGTTTTAAGTTTTAGAGAAATTTTGACGTAACTGTGTATTGTACGTTTTATACGTAACTCGAAGAATCGAAAATGGGTTCAAATAAACGACATAAGACCGAGAAGAGTCGGGACGCTAAGAAGAAGCGTCACCGTAGCCGTTCAAGAAGTTACACGCCTGAGCGCGAGAAATCGGAAAAGCACAGACATCACAAAAAGCATAGAAGAAAAGAACGCAAGGATTATGACAGCGATGGTTATTATTTGATTCATTCTTTTTAAACTATATGAATATGTTGTACGATGGCTTTCCTCGATGTCCGGGTGTTTTATTACAAATTAACTACGCGCGCAACTTTGCAAATGTAATTGTATACAAGCGATTAGATAAGCTACGCTTTTCGTTTAACTTCGTTGTTTCCTCTCCGCCGTTTCGAAAATAATATCGTGTTTCATCTGCGCAGAAACATACATATCAATTTCAAGTACAAGATTAAATAATTTGGAGGAAATCGAAGCGAATAATATTTATATCTTGCATAGGTATATAAGCATTTTCTATGATGAGCATACGATATTTAATATCAGTTAATACTGCCTTCATTTTATTTCAGTCGAAATAGTTAATGCACCTCCCCCACCAAAAATTTCTAAGTCATCACATCCATCAACACCTCCACCTCCTGAAATCTCTAAGCAACGTAGTCCTTCACCAAACAAAGGTGGTGGAACACAGACCTCCCTGTCTATTGAGGAAACTAATAAGTTGAGAGCAAAATTAGGTTTAAAACCATTAGAAGTTGACAGTGCTCCAAAAGATGACCCTAATAAGATTAAAGATGACTTGGGAGAATTTTATCACAAGCCTGCACCTGATGTTAATGAAAAGTTAAGGAGCCAGAAATTAAAAGAAAAAATTGGTACTCAGAAACAGAAAAGATTAATTGAGCAAAATTTAGCAAAAATAAAAAGTTTGGGTGATTGTGAGTCTGATGATGACACAAAATCTTGGATTGATAGAAACAGACGTTTGGAGGAGGAGAAGAAAAAAGCAGAAGAAAGAGTACTCTTGCAATAATTTACATATAAATTTCGTTATTGTTATATTCGTAATCAATATTTTAATTTTTTATAATTTTCCTACCAGGCAAAAATGTTAGATCAGCTAGATGAGGAATTTGGTATTGGAAATTTAGTAAAAGAAGAAATACACGCCGCTCGTAATACAGCTTATACTGAAAAGAATTTAAAGGGTCTGAAAGTAGAACATAATTTCGTAAGTATTTATATCTATAATATATTTCAAAGATTATATAGTAATTGAATAATTCTATTTGAACATCTAACAGGAAAAATTTCAAGAAGGCAAAACAGTTGTCTTGACATTAAAAGATCAAGAAGTATTACATGAAGGTGAAGATGTACTTGTTAACGTGAATATAACGGACGAAGAGCGTTATCAACGTAATATTTTAAATAAGACTAAAAAACCTGGTTATGATGCATACGATGACGATAACTTCGATGAATTTGGTTTTCCAAAGAAAACGGTTTTGGAAAAATATGACGAAGAGATTGAGGGCCAAAAAAAAGATAATTTCGTATTGGGAGTTAATATGAAAGATGTTAAGCAGAATAAACTCGATTATGTTAAGCAACGTTTAGCGAATAAACGACTAGAATCGTTACAGTTAACAGAGCCAAAACTAGCTAGTGAATACTACAATGATGATGAACTTACAAAGTTTAAGAAACCAAAGAAAAAGGTAAATCTTTCAAATGAAATTTCTAATATTCCGAAAAGTTAATATTTTATTGTATTTCAGGTTCGCAAAATTCGAAAAAAATTGAAAGCAGAGGATTTGATTCCTGAAGATAACGATTATCTTCGTGATCTCGGTAGCAGGAGAAGCAAACGAACGGAAGATGTGAAAGATAACGATGCTTTAGACGTAGACGATTTAGGAGGTATTTTGAATATTTTCTTATTCCTATTGTTTAAAAATTAATGATTTTTTTTTTTTGTAATTCTCAAATTAAGCTCCGGCCGAAGACCTCAGTGGAATTAAACTGGATGAGGATGACAAAGAGATGGAATTACAATTAGCATGGAAAAAAGCTCAACGACTAAAAGAATCACAAGCATCAAGTATCGAAAAAGTCGCTGAAAGCATAAAACAAGAGCCCGCAGGTTCTGAAGAAAATCAATCTGGAAATATCGTTCTTAATGCTACTGCAGAATTTTGCAGAACCTTAGGAGACATTCCTACTTACGGTCTTGCCGGAAACAGGGAAGAAAATGGCCAAGAACTTATGGTATCAATCGACCTTTTAATCCTTCTGTTTTCTTAATTTTATTTTCTACATTTCTTGTTTTCCATAAAAACTATAGGACTTCGAATTGGACGGGGTCAAAGAAGAACCACCAATAAATGAAGAGGAGGATGATGGTCGTGGCGCGTGGAATACTGTGCAACTAGGTATCTCTTTAACGTCCAAGTCAATTATTTTGTTTTTTACATCGTGTATAATCCACTATATTTTACAAACAGATGAAAGTACATCTGAACCAGTAGCAATGGAAGCTGCGATTTTAGACGCAGAGCCTTCACTCGGTCAAGGCGTTGGCGGGGCGTTAAAACTCGCAATGAGCAAAGGTTATCTGCAAAAAGAGGACAGTAGTAGACCTTCTGCGTCTCGTTTCGCGCACTTACAGGCCCAGAATTACTCCATAGAGGATAAAACTTACGGGTATGTATGGAACATAACTAGCGTTCAATACAAGAAATTTTCTTACACGTTTACCAGTGGAAGACAGATGTAAGAAACATTCTTCTATTGAACACATACCAAAACGAACCTTGTTAGTCAAGTCTCTAGTGAATTTCAAACTGTTAGTTAACAGTCGTAAATAGAGAGCCCAAATTTCGGTGCTCGGAAAATGGATGATCCACTACCGCAACAAGAGATTAACTACTTTGTCGGAGATGATCAAAGGCCCGAGAAGAGAGTAGGATTGATAGAGGTATGTTTATATTATGCGATTCTATTGTTCCAAGCGAGACTCGTTCGAGCGTTCTAGACAAGTCCAAGCGTGGATTGAAGTTGCCTTAATTTAATTAGTAAGATATAAAATTATTCTTATATGCTGTATAAATTATATCATCAATATGATTTCCTTTTATTGTACAGTGCATATGCATGATTGAAGGTATGGAATATAAAATAACTTGTAGGATAAGGATTTTGTGCAATCTCAATTTAAACTTCAATTTTTTTTGTAACATATATAGGCACACGTTTTATTAAATATACTGTGGAAATTAACCGTCTTTGATAAAAATAACAATTTAATAAAATATATTCGATTCATCGAATTGAAGTATATTTTATAAGAACATGTGTTTAACTACGATAGCTATATTGACTTGTTTAGATTCGTGTTGATTTAATCGCATAATGTAATGTATCTTGAAGATGTAACAATTTTTTTAATTCACGGTAACATAAATTTCGAAACACCGAATTCCATGGGCTTCTATAAATTTATAGACTTAAACAGAGTTTAGTTTATCCATGTCGTGCACAAGTGATTTTATCCACATGTTTTTTTATTTTTTAGGGACGATGATAAATTTGGGAGAAGAGATCGTTTCAATGGTCCAACTTCGGAGTTCAAGGAGAAGGATGGCTTCAAACCCAACGTTAAGTTGGAATATATCGATGACGATGGCCATGTTTTGAGTGCAAAGGAAGCTTTCCGATATCTATCACACAAGTTCCACGGTAAAGGACCGGGAAAAAATAAGGTTTATATTTTTTTAAGTTGTTTATCTATCCAGCCATAAGAAATGCGGATTAAATGTAGTTTTGTCCTATGTAGGTTGAAAAACGAATGAAAAAAGCAGAGCAAGAGGTGTTGATGAAACGAATGTCATCCACAGATACGCCTCTAGGCACGCTTAATCTATTACAAGCGAAACAGAAGGAAACTCAATCGCCGTATATAGTACTCAGTGGAAGTAAACAAATGCAGACGTAAGCAAATTTTATGTTGCTTCAATAGATATCGTAATATCGTTTAAAATATCGTCTCATAAATTTATTTTCTTTCCAGGACTAGCATATCAAAGTCAAAGCATTAAAAATTTTAAAGCTAAATTTAATAAGAGTTGTATATAATATATAAACAGAAGGAAATCTCTTATCCGTACATTTTTTCAAACAGAACAATATGTTGTCATAAAGCGGAAAATATTGCACACTTCTTTGATTTGTTAATCTCCATACAGAATAATAAAACGACATTTGTGAGTTTATAAAGAAGACTAATTTCTTTCATATCCGTTCGTTTAGACTCGTTAATTTTTAATTGGCGCTTCAAGTCATACACAAATTTTAATAATATAGTTGTTTATTTTATACCTTAAGAATTTTTTTGTAAGGGAACATTACACTTTTAATTTTTAGGGATGATATGACCCAAATATCGGGGTTATATTTTACAGACAGGTTTCTGAGACTTTATTTACAGTATAAGTTTAGATATGCTCGTTCGATACATAAAATCTTCAATATAGTTATAGTTGTCGGAGAAAATTGTCAGAACTTTCTCGATGCATATAAAACAGTATAAACTCATATCTTGTCGCATGTTTCGATTATTCTGTATACTAAAAATATTTTCTCTCGTTTTAATCAAATATATTGACTGCTATCACAATAAAATTAAGTGTGGGGAACAAACGATGTTCACGACTGTATCTTATTTATACAAACATTAAAATAATACGATCACTATATGCTAACAGTAACATGTGCATAAAAGCTATAAATATTTATAACATTACGATTCACTTTTTAATTATAAATCACAATTTACAATTACTTCCTATTATTCTATCCGTACAAATCGCTATTATTCGGAAGATAGAAATTTCAATACTACAAAATATTTTATTCTTTCTAATAATTACTATACAAACGTTTTACTGAACATTCTTTGTTTTCACTTCTCTTTGTTTTTATATAGCACAGTGTTATTGTGAAATTAAAAATGTGTTGTTTTGTTCAATGAAATCATGATTAATCATGATGAAACACATGATGACAACGTGATTTGCTACCGATAATATTGTGAGTATTTATAATTATTAACTGTCGGCATTATGATTTCGTAATCAAAAAACGACGCGTTTCTATAAGAATGCTGAATGGCATTATATTTATTTATCCCTGATATCACAAGGCTTTTCTTTGTGCAAAAATAGTATTAATACTTGATTCCACGAATCTTACACAGTGCACAATACTCTTATAAATTACATTTTATAAATATACGTCTTCAATGTAGACGATATAGTTTACATTTTCCGATATCCTTTCAAAAGACTTCCTCCTCTAGTCGCTATTCACAATTTAAAAAAATTTTTTTTGTATTTTTTGAAAAGATTGGCACTTTTCTCGATGGTTGACACAAAAATAATAGGAATTTCTACTAATAGAAAGAAATAATCGTTTTAATATTGTTCAGCTATTATCTAGAAACAGTATCTTTTATTAAGGCAGCGATATATCTTTTATTGTCAGCTGGAAATTTTTAAACAGCCTTGAAAAGCCGTTAAAAAATTCAGATTGACTCATTGTTAATCGCTATTTTCGTTGGTAAACAAAAATATTGGGCAACTATGCGCTAACAATAAAAAAATATATCATTAATCGAACAAACAACGTTTATTCTTTCATTCAGTGTTTATTTTTTAAATGAGTTCCTATTAATTTCGTAACAACCTAATGTACATTTTGATACAGATATGACTCTCTATTTGGTGGATTTTAAGAAATTTAGTTCATCCCAGTAACACATTTAATATCGTCGAATAATAGTCTTTAATAAATTATACTTTATGATTATCTACAATTCTGTTCCTGCATAAGTTTTCGTGTTACTGTTGTTTTAAACAAATTTCTTATAATCATTATGTTCGTATATTAAATTGTAAATATTCCTCCTTACTTTTCCCTAGAATTCAGAACATAACCTATACGTGTGTATATATATATATATACCTATATACGTTCTAAGATATTTAATTAATCCGACAAACTGCCAAATCTTTTTTACATATATGTATATATATTATAAATTGACTTTGTTATTTTTACTTCTCTTCCGTTGCTCATTGTATGGTATTAAAATCATTGGTATAAGTATCGTAAAAGGGAAGTGTGAGTCTCGATCGACGATTCGCTCATGTAAACGACGGACGTTTCTTAAAAAGTGAAAATCGATCATCATCGTATCAAAAAGTGGTTGTATACAAGAGAGAACGACGCATGTACGAAAACGTGGAGGTAAACCGTGGGATTATGATACAGTGTTTCGCTAACGGTTAGCTTTTCGGATAGACTTTCCTCAAATTAGTTACCTTCCAAGGTATCTTCCTTGAGCGGAACATCGTCAGCAATTGTTATCTGTTCAACGTCTCCATGTTCTGGCTCTGAGCGCTCTTGCTCAAGCCTTCCTCTTGGCCGCTTGGACTTGAAAACCTGATCGATTTAATGGACTTCAACTTGGTCGTTCCGCCATATCTGAAATTCACATCGCTGCAAGTATCCAGTGGGTGCATAGCTCCGCTTAAATTTGACCCATTGTCATCGTTCGTGACTTCCAGTTTAGTAGTTGGTATTTTCGTAACGGAACCCAATTCGTACGCTGACTTCGACGACTTAAGCTTCATCTTCGCGTTCAACGGTAACGAAACCGATTTTTCTAAATTGACCGCCTGGATTTTTAGATGATTATCGTTCTGTACCACCTCCTCATTTGTCGAGTTCATAGCGTCGTCGGTGATCTGAATATCTATGTTTACCGTTTTCGCGTCGTTTTCGTCGTTTCTAACAGTTTGCTCGTTCACTTGCTCGTTCACATACTCGTTCCTGAGAGCGGCCAATTGTGCTCGTTGCTTCTGGATGTGATTGTGCGAGTTCGAGAAGAACGACGAGACTCTCTCAAACTTGGTAGCTAAATTGGGTTGACTCAGCGTGGATTTTAGTGGATAAGGAGGCTCTACGGTGGTGTTGTTGTTCTTCAAGAAGTTGTGAGATTCTCTACCCGTGGAGTTACTCTTTATCATTCCCATTTTGATATTGTCTTCGATCACTTTCAGAGGGTAAGATCTACTGGAAGCGTTCCTTCGTTTCTCGGCTAGACTTAACTGAGCAATGATTCGGCGAATATCGCCGGGAAATTCAATATCTGGACGAGTTTCGGACAGCTGTTGAATAAACGCGCCCAACGTGGTGACAGTTACTTCCAGACTGCGATTTTGGGACTCGAGTTTGAGCAGAGTCGATTGCTGCACAGATCGTGCCGTCTCCAGACGATGTAGATTGCTCATAGTCATCTATAAACATAATTTTGTTGATTTAGTTTTAAGTGTAATAGTACATCTAAGAAAAGACTGATTTCTGAGAATCGTACTTCAAGTTGTTCAGTGAGTTGCGACACTTCTTGCGTAAGTTGCTTGTTAAGCACTTTGAACTTCTCCAAAGTCTCGATTTGTGGCTTTACTGACATCATTTCCTCTTGTAAGACTTGGTATTCTACTCTATATTCATTCAATTGTTTCGTAATCTCTTGATCCGGATAAAATACACGTTTCATTACTCGATCCAGTATGTCCCTATCTACAGCTGGTACGCGCGTCTGAAATTGCAGAAAGTATTATGAAATTATGATATCCACTTCCGTAGGTTTAATTCGCAACAAAAGAATCTTTCTTACCTTGAGATATTCCATAATTTCCTCGAAACTGTCGCACGTTAACAATTGATCTTGATGTTCTTCTAACAATGCCATAGATACACGGAAAAGAACCTCTGTACTTTCCAGGAAAAGCAAATCTATAAAGGGTAAATAAATTAAATAAATATTCAGAGTCTTGCAGATAAATATTTCTAGAGAAATTTATGTTTTATTATTTCATTCAACTTACCAAAAACTCTGGTCACAAAACCCAGTGGAAATTGACTGGCGAACAAGGTTAACAGCCATGGCGCAGCGTATAGCGTAGGCGAAACCTCATGTTTGTCAAAATGATTATAGATCGCTGGTAACCTATCGTGCAACAGCCTGGATAATTGATACAGGTACAATTGTAATGCCGCCATGTCGGGAAGATATAATTTTCTCAGGCCCCTTCGAAACATTAAGTGTCGCAGAAGAAAAAACGCCTGATCTTCCGACATCTATTAAAAAGTGGTGAAAACAATAAAATAAATTATATTTCAGGAAAAAGTTGTATTCAATTAAAATTATAATACTAACGTGTAAAAGAAGGACGCCAGCGACAAAACTGAGTCCTTGACAATAACCGACTTCATGATCCAAAAGTGAATACGCTTTCAACAAATTGAACAAGGCTAATTGGCCAGGGCCTAGGGGTGAACTATAGTACGGATGATTTGGAAACGTTCGTCCCAGATCTATTAAAATTGCATGTTGCTGAGATGTAAGTTGTTTCAAGAGTAACTCATACGGTGTATTATAATTAGGGAAATCGCGGGTTTCTATAGGCGGTTGCTTCAGGCAAAATTGTTCGGCCAAGAATTGCCACACTTCTCCCCTTTTCCCTTTTGGTACACCTGTATCGATATAAACGATGATTAAAAATTAGCCATCATATTTAAAAACATTTTACAACATGAAATTTTACGATCGTTTACCTTGCTTGATAGCGTGTAAAAGCATTTGATTATCACATTTCGTAGAAACTCTTGACTCTTTGCTTACAAGAAGATCCCACACTTCCATTAACTCACGGGCACAACTGCTAAGTTCATCATACTCCAACTTTATTCTCTTGACAGTCGCTTCCTCTTGACGTACTGAAGTCAAGAACATTTTTAAACACACTAGTTGCGTGCGCTATGCGTGTTTATAAATCTCCTTATACTACCCGGAAGAAAAGACGCAAAAATATATTACCTCTAAGCCTCGCGTTTTCCTTCTCCATTCTTATAAGGATTACTTGTTGATTGATCGCCTTCTTCCATAAATCTCTTAATTCCTGTTTTGTTCTGCGCTTTGGAGTCGTCTGAGGTGCTTTGATAATACCCATATTTCCGGTTTTGTCATTTTCCTTATCATGATCTTTACTGGGGGTTACTACTCGATTCAGTATAGCTTGCCTCCATGAACTATTTGAATGCACTGAATTACTCCCATCCGTTTCGGTTGGTGACATTTTTGGCGAATTCCCTACCTTTAGAAATCTGCAAATTGACAAGAATAACGATACGATTTATAATTCGATGAAATTATTAAAATTATATATATTGCACTTACATGTCCATCATAGAACTCTTTGGTCCAGTGTTCACAGTTAATTGCTGTTCAGGTGAAACCCTCAAGGATCTGGGTCTACTAGAGGAGTCTGGAGAAATGTCTACTATAGAGGCATGTCGCGAATTTTCAGGGCTTTGGCTACCGCTTTTTTGTATCACAGTGTTAAGGTGGCTCGGATCTCTCAGATGTGAGCCGAGTCCAAGGTCGTCCCGCGAACCCTTCCTCTTCATGAGAGTATCAAAGCTATTTGTTAGAGAGCGCTTCGCTTTCATAAATATTGTGCTTCCTACACCCACGCTTAAGTACTGATTAAGAAATTCACTCCTAGAACGTACCGTAAATAAAACTTTCAAGTTTCCGGCGAATATTTTATAATATTCTCTTGTTTAAAAATTCTACCTATTCTCAGCTGTGTCGTGGACATGTCTGGCCTGTTTCGCTTCGCAATGGGCGCGCAACAGCTTCATTAAAAATTGATTTTGCTCGCGCAGTGTAGTCCCCATACCGCCGGCAGCCTCCACGCTCTTGTATTTGCTAACAACGATCTCCTGATCGTCCTCCGGCAGCATTTCCATCCGCGAAAATATGATATTCTGAGTTCTCCTGTCATTCTGTCCTGGAACCCACAGAGGAATACACGCGAACTCATTATTCATCCCGCAATTTCGTTATAAAATCAAAGAAACAGAAAAAAGTACTACTGGTAAATTACCTTCGACTTCCTGGCAGAGCTTGTTATACCAATACATGGGGCAGTGTTCGCATGAAAATACAGAGTATCGGTCTTTCCTTGGAACTTCGGATGTTCCAACAAACGCTTGAGAAATTGCTACAACAAATCGTGCATTATTTCAATTTATTTCAAATCCTTTTTCTCAGATTAATATTTTAATGTATCGTTAATTCTGTACGCAGCAAGTGTACAGGATATTTCATTACTGGTGAAATCTGCTTTACCGACGATTAGTCACTGCAAAACGACAAAGAAGTTATCATCGGATTGAATTTCTCATAGGAAATGATTCAAACAGAAGAGTGATACATTTCTATGGACTTTCTTTCCCGCATTCCACCATCGTGTCCATTCTGTCAAAGCAGATGCCATCAATAAAAAAAAAACAAGAAACTCGTCTCACCAGCAACAAGGTCATCCGCTACGGATTCCGACTGGCACTTGAACACATAGCCAATAAAGTAGTCTGTGTTACTTTCTTTGCAAATAAAACCAAAGTGCTCCGGATTCTTCACACCCTGCACGCAACTCGCCACATCCCTGAGCTGTTTGTGAAGCAGCACCTGTTTCCTATCCGGACTGATCAATCTCAAATCATAGCGGCCTACCTGAAATTCAGCGTCAGATCAGGATACGTTCCTCTTCGAGCGAATCTTTATTAAAAAAAAAAAAAAGATAAAAATAAATCGTATAATTTCGAACCTGGAAGAGCATCGTGCGATTGTGTTCATCACCCCCTCTCGCCATGGAATCCCGCCTGGCATTCAACACACTGCCCGTGGAGGACGCCCGATTTCGCATAACTTCCGGCACCTGCATGGAATTATTGTTCGCGGCGTCACGATTCTCTTCACGTTCCTCTTTCTCCGTAGAGCTCGCGTTTTGTGGCTTAGGAAACGTTTCCACGGAGCCGGTGAGTGTCGGCGGTACGCCCAACGGATTAACCGGCGATATAATACCACTTCCAGAGACATTTTCGATGCTTCCAGTCTCACTGGCACTGGATTCCTATAATAATTGATTTATTTTAAATATCGTACGATCTATACATGAATTTTTCGTAATTTCGTAAACTACATATGTGAACTCCTCTCACTGTGCTATTTCTTCTGTTATTGGAAGACGTTAAAAGTGATTGACGTTGATACTCTGCGAGGATATTACCCGTCGACGGTCTCGATTTGTCAAGACCGTGAACACGAAACCTTACTAGTGCATCGTCGATAAAGGCCTCCGATACCTTTGGCTGTGATACCTTGATTTTTTTTGAGCACCTATAGCAATAAACGTAGAAACTGTTAATCATGTGTGCTTCAATTGTGCAAATGTTAAATTGAAATGAAGATTCGTTTCAAATAGTAGGCAAAAATTGGAAACAATTGTTTGGAGAAACGAAAGACTTGAGAAATCACCTCAAAGAAATGGGAAGAGCTTGGAGATATGTCAGCACCTAGGGACATCAGGCTGGCCGCGCTGCTTTGCGATCTTTGAGGTACATCCCTGCCTTCAAATCGGGACGAGGCTGAGTGTTCCTTCATGTCTCTTAGGAATTGCTGAACCTGGGGACAAAGGAGGCGCATTGAATTGCAATCTCTCGGGCGACATGTCATTACTGCATTGAAGCTGCAAATTAATCCTCGTCACGCGACAACATACAACAATCGCGTTCGCAATACCCGCGATTGCAGTCGTTGCACCCAACGATGACACGATTTTTACCATCCTATTTTTCCTACATATCTCACAGATTCTCCTAACGACGTTAAATTACAGTGAATTATTAAGAGATACAGGAAATTTGTTTATTCAGGTGAAAAAGATCGAAGTACTGCGCATTGAGGGTACTGCCTTAATGAAAAATATAAATTGTATAAATTTTACAATTTATCTGAATGTTAAGTTTCTACACGACTGATAAAGTATTGTATCTTAATGGAAATTCTGAATATTACTCGGTGTAAATGACTTTTAAATAGGCTCTCTGCAATTCGATCTAAGAGCCCGCCGATTTACATTACTCGCGATGTTGTTATACAACAATGCAGAATACGTGTATTACCCACATGTCATATATATCGAGAATATTTTCGCGATGAAATTTCTCGCCCCAGAAATAATCCAGGATGTAGCATCTTAACTGCACCATTAATATACAAAACCGATTTCGCAAGAAAACGTGAACCAAACGTGGCCAATGGCCGTGGACCAAAATAAATTCATTTCGGGAGCACTCGTGGACCGCATGGTTTTCTATCCTGTTTTCCCCTTCTTCCACACTTCTGTTTTCTACTCTTTAGTAAATCACCTCAGGCTCGTTATTTGTAACGTACACCTCTTACTTTGTACTATACTTTCTCTGGTTTTTTTTTTGACATAAGGTGCCGCCATCTATATACATCGTTAGCAATTTATAAATATAGTACGTAAAAATTAAAGTTTCATTTATTCATAAAGCGAGATTTCACATTTAAGATCAGTAAGTGCCCTTAAGTAATTAGCAAGTTAAAAAAGAGATAACGATTTTTATTCCTGGTTTCTATGAAGCGTCATTCAAACAATGCGATCTGGTAATTCACATCCTGTTTGCAAAATAATATTTTGCCACTCGTAAAGTCTTTTACCATACTCCGTCATTTAATTTCCAATTAGCTCGCAGAATCTAAATCGTAGGCGTAAAACCATTAATCATCCCTCCTTAAACCCTCTTTTCGTATGTGTTCTAAGTGTGTACAGTGCTGCCTATCGCGTTCTAAGGAAGAATTTCAAACTAAGCCAACCAACTTCGCAAAATCTCTGTGGCATCGGGTTCATCCAAGCGTAACTCGGGAGGCTGTCCAAGTATTAGATTACACCGATTTTCACGAGCAATCTCGCGTGAGACACGCGAGTTTTTTGCTATTTGCTAGCTACGGTAGAGGGCACAATGACGTGCGGCGCGAGAACATGCATACAAGGCACAGGAGGAAAAAGAAACAAAAACATAGACCGAGGACGAACCGGAGACGCGGTGTGGTGTATAACTGTTGAGTTTGGAAAACAGGAAAAAACTAGGCAATCGATCTTCGACGTAAAACATTAAGACCCCGACCGTCGTCTGCAAACAATTTATTATGCAAACCGCGGCCACCACCAGGTTTCGATTGCACGATATATCGATAGTGATTAGCGGAACGAAGAGACGTGTCGGATGTTGGATGACGCGATCGATCAGGAAACAATTTGTATCAATGAAAAAAAGATTATCTCGGCGGGTGGTTATCTCAACGACCATGAGCGGTCTTCGGCTGGAACAGAGAATCTCGCCAGCCAGCGTGAGTTGCTGACACAGAAAGCAGATCGGCACAAAGCGGTGGGGCTTCTTTTATCCAATTACCAGACGAGCTTTCTTTTTATTATCCAGCCGGCCCTTCCTCCTTCTGCAAAATATGTACGACTGACACTTGATACACCTGACTCTAGCAACCTACACCACGATAAATATTAACATGACGATGATGCAAGTGGATTCCGATGAATTTTTTTTCTGTTCATTTCGTGAACACAAGTTTGGAAAGGTATTTGGAATGAAGAAAAATTTAATTTTACTTGTTTTATTTATTTTACATGTTTTGTATTCATCTTACGTTATCGATAGAATCATAGATAAAATTACTCTAGACGAGAAAACGTAGATAATCCTTGACCACTAATTTACGTAATATCTACGCGTAATAAATTTTTGTTTCCCGCCTATTCTTCATCAAAATATCTTTGTATCTTTCGACTGTTTTATATTAATACGCTTAAATCGATAAAAATTGAAAACTAAATATTTTAATAATGGTAAGTCTAGTCTAAAGAAAAGGATAACAATTAAGGGTTAAAGAAATACCTATGACAACTCAACAAATTATTAAATGCTGTTGCAATCGGTTATACATATTTATTATGATCTAATAGGTTACAAGAAAATCAATTTTTTGCCATCTTTCTTGCAACTTAATTACACATACGAGGACTTTTGAACAGGCAATAAGATAACCCGTTTCGTCACGTGTAATCATACCAACGATGTAATCGGAAATCCTACAATACAGAGCTGCATTATTCCAAATAAATCCTTTGGAACAAGAAAAGTTCAAAAGCATTTTAATGTAGTTTTAAATCAATTTTATATTTTTTTCTCAAAAACTGATATTTTTCACTAAAAAAACTTTCTGTCTCCCCTTCTAAAAGGAGAGAAGAAACCTACGCAATTACTTCAAAACGAATGATCACTAACAAGAACCACTTCAATTCTCAATTCTCACGACTATTGTATCGCTTCAGTCTCGACTATAAATACCATCAGGAAGGATCGCGAAATTCAAGCAAGGTCTTCGCGCGAGTGCGCGCGCAACATCTGTATGTGTCCCTCTATCCCTGTTTGTTGACACTCGCCTGTCCGCTGGTAATTGATCATCGTCAATTCTAGGTACAGAAGAGCACGCGTGATCATCGAGAGAAGAGCACGAGCAAGCGTCGTGACGCTGATCCATTGAATTCACGTGGAAAATTAAATTGAACGCCGCCAAGACCGACTGCGTGAACCGTCGTTTCATCGAGTTGCAGTTAAATGGAAACGAGCCATATCGCAAGAGTTCCCGAACCAAGGCCATTTTCGTATGATCGACGACCGTGAGAAAAGACACCGCGGAGAAATCGTTTTCGACCATTTTTCCGGCACTCTTCACGGCTAAGAATTAACAAGACCCATTCAATGTATCCGTGAATGAGGTTTTCCTGTGAAGGAGCTGATGATGGTATTCTTTTTTACGCTCCTCGAGAGAATTCTTCCTCGGTATACGGTCTCACGAATTCAATGGAGAAGGTGTTATACAACTTTTTATCGAAACGAACAAAAAGATACTCATCGTCGAAATTTATACATTTAATTTGAGATTATAGAGGAGAGAGTAGAAATATAGGATAGAGTAGAAATATGAAACACCAAGTGTTTGTTGTTTGCCTGAAATAATACGGTCTCATATTACTACCTGAATTTAATCAGCACATTTCAGATGTAGTTCCCCATAGTTTTTCGCGTTATTTTCTTATTTACTGTCTCTTAATATTATTTGTAAATTCTAAGAAAAAATTCTTTGGCGAGAAATTTACGATGTACTTGAAGGTATGCTAGAGCAAGTCATGCTTGATAAAGTTCTGATCGTTCATGAATATTCCCAGCACGTGCAACCATTCATCGTTGCAAGTATACAGTGTAGTTGGTTTAAGGAATGAGACAAAGATAGGGAACGTGTGTTTTCACGAGTGTATTTTGAAAGGTACGTGGAATCTAAGGAATAATTTTCTCTTATCGTGCCTTCTTCTAATTACAGTGTTTTATTTTGCAGCTGGTGTCGATGTGTCGTTACGTAAATTTACCTTACAGCAACGACGACGTATTAATTATTGATGGACAGAGATTTAATGGGAACTGTGTCAACTGCGATCAAAGCTTCTCTATGAATGGCAATAAAAACAGAACCATTCACTTTTTATGTAAATGCAAAGTGGTTTGAATGCGACTTGAAGTGAAGCACTTAAAAAATTGTATACTCTGTATGCGAAATAATATATACTATACCACAAAAAAACCAGAACAAAAAATCAAGAGAAATGGATTTTTTTAGTATTTGCAATCAAGTGTACGTTTGCACGTTGAAAATACGCAAGTGCATTCGCCCCGTGCTCGTTTCACGAAGTTTCTGTATGAAAAGGAACGAGAGCCACGTTTTCATGCGTGCCAGGTGTCGACCATAATTAAATCCTAATTGCTGTGGCTTGGCTTAATTTGATTTGACGCTGAAAAAGAAAAGCTGGATCACGTCGATAGCGGTGTATATAACGTGTAAGGGTCTTTGATCCTGGTTGACACAGTTTCGATTGAAATGTCGTGGAATGCGTCACACGCGTGTCTGCGAACGCTTTTACACATTAAAAATAAGAATCCTTGACGACCAAACGCCATAAACGAATGCGCATAAATTTTCTTTCATTTCAAGTATCGTTGAACCGAAATGAATTCGATCCACGCTAATTTCACGACGTTCAATATGTATATACCAGCATAAATTTTCTTTCATTCAACCTACCAAGGGGCCTTGATTGTTTATGTAACTGAATTCCACATTGCAATTCATATTTGCGTCAAACTTAAATACCCATGTACACCTATAATTAACGGTGAAAAACTTCTACTTTTTCTCTCTTGTAATATTAATCTAAATTTAAATTTTATTGCACGTGTAATACGAGGAAATTCTATTTGTTATTCAAATGGCGGCGCTCTAGGGTACAAATGATCTAGATGAATTCGTCTAGAGATGTACAAGAGACAGCTTTGTCGCTTCTAATCCTTCCACGAATACCTGAAGCTTTCACTCGTGTTATTTAAATACCACGATCTCACGATTTCAAATACTAGTTTTGTCGATAGCAGCGCCGCACACGTTTTCACATTTTTCCGTTATTGCTCAAATGATTGTGTCATCTGCGATGAATTAACCGCTTGGAAATTAACGGGTTACCCATCCGGCAACTTTCTCGTAACCTGTGGAAAACACTAGAATCTCTTTAAACATACAAGAAAACACAGTGGCAATTCCTTAATACCGTCTGAAACAACCTTAATAACTAACTGAATACATTAAATCTACCGTAATAATAAAAGATTTGTATGTCGTCACCATAGTAACGTAACCTAACCTACAAATTGTAGTATCAACAGAAGGACAAGGGTATTATATAAATTCGACCTAAATGTTACAAAAACGAAGCGACAAGCGTGCAACAATGAAAAATTCCCCTCAATTTCCACTTCAACAGAGACATAAGTGTTCTCCTCTCAGCAAGACGCTTCTTATGAAACAACCATGAATAGATAGTCACGTAAGGAGGCATAGCGTACTTCTTGCACGTACGCGTGCACAGTAAAACGGCAATAAAGGGGAAAGGGAAAGAATGCAGCGTATCTGTCTACGTGACCAAATTAACATTAAACCCGAAACAAGCGGCTACGCGACGATGGAGAAGAAGTAATACGACCCCAGCGGCTCGCGCACGAATACGTTAGACGACACGTTACGCGTTATTATCGACACTTTGTTGCAGAAACTACAATAATCTCTGTAATACGATTACACGTTAACGAGCACCTTTTTTGCCCTGACCACTAGATCCACAGAACTGGTTCGAACTACGTAAATCCATTGAGACACTCGTTTCTTCTCTTTTTGCTATAGCTTCTACGGTCGTCATAGCGAATTCGATGAAATGCCACGAATCGTGAAAGCAGACACTAGTACGTGATCGAAATGCCATAACTTTGGCACGAGACCGGTGAATACCGACAAAATTCGTGACGGAACTTGGGATACGCCGATCGAGCCTCCACACTGTGTTTATCGCGTATTTGTGAAATTCTAGTTCTTACTGGAACTACGTGGAGAAACTTAGCCGGATGTGTTCAGTCGGTATGTTCTTCTGTAGTCAGTCACACGAGAGCAATATCTTCGTAAAAATTTGTCGATTCGAAAGAATTATATGTACGGTTCGGGAGTGTATATATGAGAACCTTATTTAGAAGGTTGTATTTAATAATGGATCTAATCTGTATTGTCGATTATCGCTTAGCAACGACACGGCATGCTTTCGACCAATTTTTCAGGTTATGAGACAGGTAATAACCTCCACGTTGTGTAAATGTAATATATTAGGATTTTTAGCCTAGAAACATGTTTTCTTTATTGGTTTTATTTCGTTACTGACTGCAAGAGGAAAGGTATAAAATATTCACATTATCTCGCCCTTTTTAAACGTCGCTCAGTTGCTTAAAAATCGCAGGTATACTTTTGTTTGGACTGGCTGTGGCACGGAGTTTGCATATCTAAGGTAGAGATGCCTTTCAGTGACTTTTACGAAGCATAATTTGTAGAATGTGCATGGTGGAATGTGGAGTGTGGAACGCGGATTGTGGAATGTAGAATCAGAAAGATGAAATGTAAGATGCGAAATGTAGAAACGCTGAAGTTACTGTGAAACTCATGTGAACACATAAAATGAAGTTTCTACTGGTCCTATTAGTGTATAAATAAGCTTGAATCTCACGACCGTGTAACTAACTTCATGCTTCGTTTTTTTTTACGAAAAAAAGATTATTTGGTCGTAAGCATAGGTGTGAAGTGAAATGTGAACGCTCGAACAACCTTCGCGCGAGCAACAAAGATAAATAACATTTATTTTCCTGTTTATGACGCAATCGCAGGATTTTCCACCGGCCACCTCTCTCAGTCACTTTAAGCCCGTGAATGAAGTCCTCATAGTAGAGCATCAAACAAAAAAAGCCGTGGCGAAACGTTGAAAAATGAACCGACGGGCAAAAATAAAAATTGTCTGCCATGACACTACGAAACTCGTCGATCACGTATATTGTTCCTCCGAAATATTTTTGTAGCAACATTTTTACGTACTTTCGAAGCCAATCTATTTTGTGCACAGTATTTTTATAGTCGCGCGTGTGATAACCAGAACCTGCCTGTTCTTTACAAACTCGATTCAAAACTGGAAAGAGATGCCTATGTGACAAAAATTCCTCAAACAAGTTTGACGTAACTATTATTTTTTATCATTTATCGTGAAATATATCGGAACGACTGCAGCTGAACAGTCGGTAGAATATTAAAAAAAAAAATGCTTTTGACACACCGTTAATTGGTTGCAAACGTAATTCAGTCTTTGACCGACAAATAACTTTGCTGCCAATTTTCACTTAGTTGCCATTTAAATAAATTTATTTCGAAATTTATCGGACTTCTATTTTCGAAATTGCGTAAATTATAAAGGAAAATAGATAATGTTGCATGAACGTAACATCAATTACTCGAGCTACTCAAATAGAATAAAATTAATTGCATGAATAAAGTAGTCGACAACAATTTCGCCATTACAGTCTTTCAGAGCGAGAAAACAAGGGTTCCGAACAACGGGCAGTTTCGCGAAACGTCCGCTAGAGGCGAACGGTCGCGGTGAGCGGTCCCGACCACGAAATAATTACGTCAAACTCGATTTAGACGCGATTCGTATTTTACGTAACTTTCACCGTCGCGTGCAAGGTAGAGGTGAGAATGCAACGGTATTCTTAGGCACTAGGAAACCGACCAGTCTCTATCGCATACGACAAATATCGTTAAATCGTCTACGGCGAAGAAATCAATGTTTTTTTTCCGAAATAATCAAAACACAGTCAGTCAA